CATATAACCCATATCATCACAGTTACTCCATATAACCCATATCATCACAGTTACTCCATACAGCCCATATCATCACAGTTACTCCATACAACCCACATCATCACAGTTACTCCATACAGCCCATATCATCACAGTTACTCCATACAACCCATATCATCACAGTTACTCCATACAACCCCATATCATCACAGTTACTCCATATAACCCATATCATCATAGTTACTCCATATAACCCATATCATCATAGTTACTCCAAATAACCCATATCATCACAGTTACTCCATATAACCCATATCATCATAGTTACTCCATATAACCCATATCATCACAGTTACTCCAAATAACCCATATCATCACAGTTACTCCAAATAACCCATATCATCACAGTTACTCCATATAACCCATATCATCACAGTTACTCCATACAGCCCATATCATCACAGTTACTCCATACAACCCACATCATCACAGTTACTCCATACAGCCCATATCATCACAGTTACTCCATACAACCCATATCATCACAGTTACTCCATACAACCCATATCATCACAGTTACTCCATACAGCCCATATCATCACAGTTACTCCATATAACCCATATCATCACAGTTACTCCATACAGCCCATATCATCACAGTTACTCCATACAGCCCATATCATCACAGTTACTCCATACAGCCCATATCATCACAGTTACTCCATACAGCCCATATCATCACAGTTACTCCATACAGCCCATATCATCACAGTTACTCCATACAACCCATATCATCACAGTTACTCCATACAGCCCATATCATCACAGTTACTCCATATAACCCATATCATCACAGTTACTCCATACAGCCCATATCATCACAGTTACTCCATATAACCCATATCATCACAGTTACTCCATACAGCCCATATCATCACAGTTACTCCATACAGCCAATATCATCATAGTTACTCCATACAACCCATATCATCACAGTTACTCCATACAGCCCATAACATCACAGTTACTCCATATAACCCATATCATCACAGTTACTCCATACAGCCCATATCATCACAGTTACTCCATATAACCCATATCATCACAGTTACTCCATATAACCCATATCATCACAGTTACTCCATACAACCCATATCATCACAGTTACTCCATATAACCCATATCATCACAGTTACTCCATACAGCCCATATTATCAGTTACTCCATACAGCCCATATCATCACAGTTACTCCATACAGCCCATATCATCACAGTTACTCCATACAGCCCATATCATCATAGTTACTCCATACAGCCCATATCATCACAGTTACTCCATACAGCCCATATCATCACAGTTACTCCATACAGCCCATATCATCACAGTTACTCCATACAGCCCATATCATCACAGTTACTCCATACAGCCCATATCATCACAGTTACTCCATACAGCCCATATCATCACAGTTACTCCATACAGCCCATATCATCACAGTTACTCCATACAGCCCATATCATCAGTTACTCCATATAACCCATATCATCACAGTTACTCCATACAGCCCATATCATCAGTTACTCCATATAACCCATATCATCACAGTTACTCCATATAACCCATATCATCACAGTTACTCCATACAGCCCATATCATCACAGTTACTCCATACAACCCATATCATCACAGTTACTCCATACAACCCATATCATCACAGTTACTCCAAATAACCCATATCATCACAGTTACTCCATACAGCCCATATCATCACAGTTACTCCATACAGCCCATATCATCACAGTTACTCCATACAACCCACATTATCACAGTTACTCCATACAGCCCACATCATCACAGTTACTCCATACAGCCCATATCATCACAGTTACTCCATATAACCCATATCATCACAGTTACTCCATACAACCCACATTATCACAGTTACTCCATACAGCCCACATCATCACAGTTACTCCATACAGCCCATATCATCACAGTTACTCCATATAACCCATATCATCACAGTTACTCCATATAACCCATATCATCACAGTTACTCCATACGACCCCATATCATCATAGTTACTCCATACAACCCATATCATCACAGTTACTCCATACAGCCCATATCATCACAGTTACTCCAAATAACCCATATCATCACAGTTACTCCATACAACCCACATTATCACAGTTACTCCATACAGCCCATATCATCACAGTTACTCCATACAGCCCATATCATCACAGTTACTCCATACAACCCATATCATCACAGTTACTCCATACAGCCCATATCATCACAGTTACTCCATATAACCCATATCATCACAGTTACTCCATACAGCCCATATCATCACAGTTACTCCATACAACCCATATCATCACAGTTACTCCATACAGCCCATATCATCATAGTTACTCCATACAACCCATATCATCACAGTTACTCCATACAGCCCATATCATCACAGTTACTCCATACAGCCCATATCATCACAGTTACTCCATACAGCCCATATCATCACAGTTACTCCATATAACCCATATCATCACAGTTACTCCATATAACCCATATCATCACAGTTACTCCATATAACCCATATCATCACAGTTACTCCATACAACCCATATCATCACAGTTACTCCATATAACCCATATCATCACAGTTACTCCATACAGCCCATATTATCAGTTACTCCATACAGCCCATATCATCACAGTTACTCCATACAGCCCATATCATCACAGTTACTCCATACAGCCCATATCATCATAGTTACTCCATACAGCCCATATCATCACAGTTACTCCATACAGCCCATATCATCACAGTTACTCCATACAGCCCATATCATCACAGTTACTCCATACAGCCCATATCATCACAGTTACTCCATACAGCCCATATCATCACAGTTACTCCATACAGCCCATATCATCACAGTTACTCCATACAGCCCATATCATCACAGTTACTCCATACAGCCCATATCATCAGTTACTCCATATAACCCATATCATCACAGTTACTCCATACAGCCCATATCATCAGTTACTCCATATAACCCATATCATCACAGTTACTCCATATAACCCATATCATCACAGTTACTCCATACAGCCCATATCATCACAGTTACTCCATACAACCCATATCATCACAGTTACTCCATACAACCCATATCATCACAGTTACTCCAAATAACCCATATCATCACAGTTACTCCATACAGCCCATATCATCACAGTTACTCCATACAGCCCATATCATCACAGTTACTCCATACAACCCACATTATCACAGTTACTCCATACAGCCCACATCATCACAGTTACTCCATACAGCCCATATCATCACAGTTACTCCATATAACCCATATCATCACAGTTACTCCATACAACCCACATTATCACAGTTACTCCATACAGCCCACATCATCACAGTTACTCCATACAGCCCATATCATCACAGTTACTCCATATAACCCATATCATCACAGTTACTCCATATAACCCATATCATCACAGTTACTCCATACGACCCCATATCATCATAGTTACTCCATACAACCCATATCATCACAGTTACTCCATACAGCCCATATCATCACAGTTACTCCAAATAACCCATATCATCACAGTTACTCCATACAACCCACATTATCACAGTTACTCCATACAGCCCATATCATCACAGTTACTCCATACAGCCCATATCATCACAGTTACTCCATACAACCCATATCATCACAGTTACTCCATACAGCCCATATCATCACAGTTACTCCATATAACCCATATCATCACAGTTACTCCATACAGCCCATATCATCACAGTTACTCCATACAACCCATATCATCACAGTTACTCCATACAGCCCATATCATCATAGTTACTCCATACAACCCATATCATCACAGTTACTCCATACAGCCCATATCATCACAGTTACTCCATACAGCCCATATCATCACAGTTACTCCATACAGCCCATATCATCACAGTTACTCCATATAACCCATATCATCACAGTTACTCCATATAACCCATATCATCACAGTTACTCCATATAACCCATATCATCACAGTTACTCCATATAACCTACATCATCACAGTTACTCCATACAGCCCATATCATCACAGTTACTCCATACAGCCCATATCATCACAGTTACTCCATACAGCCCATATCATCATAGTTACTCCATATAACCCATATCATCACAGTTACTCCATATAACCTACATCATCACAGTTACTCCATACAGCCCATATCATCACAGTTACTCCATACAGCCCATATCATCACAGTTACTCCATACAGCCCATATCATCATAGTTACTCCATATAACCCATATCATCACAGTTACTCCATATAACCCATATCATCACAGTTACTCCATACAGCCCATATCATCACAGTTACTCCATACAACCCCATATCATCACAGTTACTCCATACAGCCCATATCATCACAGTTACTCCATACAGCCCATATCATCACAGTTACTCCATACAGCCCATAACATCACAGTTACTCCATACAGCCAATATCATCACAGTTACTCCATATAACCCACATCATCACAGTTACTCCATACAGCCCATATCATCACAGTTACTCCATATAACCCATATCATCACAGTTACTCCATACAGCCCATATCATCACAGTTACTCCATATAACCCATATCATCACAGTTACTCCATACAACCCACATCATCACAGTTACTCCATATAACCCATATCATCACAGTTACTCCATACAGCCCATATCATCACAGTTACTCCATACAACCCATATCATCACAGTTACTCCATATAACCCATATCATCACAGTTACTCCATATAACCCATATCATCACAGTTACTCCATACAACCCACATCATCACAGTTACTCCATACAGCCCATATCATCACAGTTACTCCATACAACCCACATCATCACATTTACTCAATACAACCCATATCATCACAGTTACTCCAAATAACCCATATTATTACTCACAGACATAGTAGAGAGAATATTCCTCCATCTTGCTCATAAACACCGAAGTTAAATCTCCCTGGAGAGAAGCACAGGTGAGAGTGTTGTTGTAGTAGGCCGCCAAATCGGCACATTTACTCCTGAAACAGTTGGCAGAGGTATGAAGGACACTCGGTTCTTCTCAAGCCGACAAGTGTCATTGTCAAACCTGGCAAGGAACAGTGTTAATCAAGAAAGAATGTTAAGTCACCCTTAAAGCTTAAGAGTGAGTGAGTGAGTGAGTGAGTGAGTGAGTGAGTTGGGTTTAACGCCGCTTTTAACAGTATTCAAGTTATATCGCGGCGTGTCAGCTTAATGTGGGAGGAAAGCCTGAAGTGATGCAGGTCTCAGACGTTTACCACTTTGGTGAAACCCACGAGCACGGGTATGGTGCTGACAAACCTAGAAACATAATCGTGGCGAACCGGGATTCGAACCTACAATCATAGGTTTCTGGCGTGCCAAAAGGATGCAACTCTGCACAGCGAATCGCGGCGCCTTAGACGACTGGGCCACCCGTGCCCCCTAAAGCTTAAGAGAAATAATTGATGTGGTTCAGTTTACCTGACCTCACTTGACTCGGAGAAGGTAAGCTAAGAATGCTTACCAGGGTTGGTACTTTACACTAGCTTGCTAGCCTGGGGCTAGTACAATTTCATGTGGGCTGGTACAAATTTCCCCATTTCCCCATGGCCATTGTGTTAACAGTACAGGGGTGTGTTATTGAGTTTTGAGTAAAGTTCTAACCCAGCTTCCCCTTCTCTCCTGGCCTAGTGAGTGAGTGAGTATGGTTTTATGCTGCTTTTAGCAATATTCCAGTAATATCATGGCGGGGGACACCGGAAAATGGGCTTCACACATTGTATTCATGTGGGGAATCGAACCCGGTTTTCGGCTGTCCCTCCCTGGCCTAGTGATGGCAAATGGCCAACATAGGTTTTCAAAACATTAACACAAATTTATCAGTCCAAGTTCTTCATGTGTTTTTTTTAAATCCCTCTCTCAATAGTGCAACAGTGTGTAGGAACTGAACATCTACACCGTATTCCGGGAATTTCTGGGATTTCTGTGAGAGTATGTTTTCTATCCCTGCTTGAAGACATACAAAATGCTTTCATTATTATTGAAACCACAACACATTGTCTGGACCATTATTATTGAAACCACAACACATTGTCTGGACAATCTCATGATCCATTGAACTAATGCTTTTGTGTGTAAAACCAGAAATAAAAATATTTTCTGGAACAAATCATTAATATGTACAAAATGGTGCTGTCGGACCACAGCTCATTACTGATTTGACAAGAACCCATTAGCAGTGGATTCCGGCACCAAAAAGGAGAGCAACTCTGCACAGACTATTATCATGCTGTCAGACCACAACTCATCACCGAGTTGACATGAACCCATCAGCAGCGGATCCTGACACCAAAAAGGGGAGCAACTCTGCACAGACAATTATCATGTGTCGGGCAACTGGTACCTCAGACAAAATATCTCCCTTACTGTATTATTGTGGGGTCTGCTATCACCATGCCCGTTGTGAGGTTCACGGAGTCAAGGAAGTCCTTTATCAAATCCACTTTGCCTGTTATCTGGGCGTTGTTTACAAAGATGTCGATCATTTCGCCGAAGATGATGATCATAGCTGGAAGTGCTATTCCATGAATAGCAGCCATTATTGAGCCCAAGACCATGAATAGCCGATCCATGCAGTCTGCGAACCTGAACTGTAATGAAACAAGACAGTGACAGAATGAATGTTGATTTACGCCGCAATCAACACTGAGTGCTACTCCAGCTTGAATACAACCCAGTCAGCACAGGGTAAAACGGTGTTTGGTAGTGTCAGCCTTAGAAATGATTGTTTTTACGACTAGCCAGAAGACTAGTGAAAGCTTTATTTCAGTCGTCATCAGAGTTCAGTGCTCGTCATCTTTGAACAAACAGGAATGTTTACGATGTTTACATTTTCTGTCAGTTTTATTCAGCTCCAATTTGTTTGTTTGTTTGTTTGTTTTGTTTGTTTGTTTGTTGTTTAACGCCGCACTCAGCAATATTCCAGCTATATGACGGCAGTCTGTAAATAATTGAGTCTGGACCAGACAATCCAGTGATTGATGTCATGAGCATCAGTCCACACAATTGGGATACGATGACATGCATGAACCACGTCAGCGAGCCTGACCACCCGATCCTGTTAGTCGCCTTTTACGACAAACATAGTTGCCTTTTAGGGCAAGCATGGGTTGCTGAAGACCTATTCTACCCTGGGTCTTCACAGGTCACCATGTGTCAAGCCATTGATTTGACCATGTGTCAAGCCATTGATTTGACCATGTGTCAAGCCATTGATTTGAACATGTGTCAAGCAATTGATTTGAACATGTTAAGCCATTGATTTGACCATGTGTCAAGCCATTGATTTGACCATGTGTCAAGCTATTGATTTGACCATGTGTCAAGCCATTGATTTGACCATGTGTCAAGCCATTTATTTGAACATGTGTCAAGCAATTGATTTGAACATGTTAAGCCATTGATTTGACCATGTGTCAAGCCATTGATTTGACCATGTGTCAAGCTATTGATTTGACCATGTGTCAAGCAATTGATTTGAACATGTGTCAAGCAACTGATTTGGACATGTGTCAAGCAATTGATTTGAACATGTGCCAAGCAATTTATGTGGACATGTGTCAAGTGGCACATGCCCTTGACAACAATCACTCTTTCTTAGAAAAAAGGGACCCATTTCAGAAATATATCTTCACTACAACTTTTGGGGAAAGTTAACCATAAAACAACCATGATTCAAAACCTTTTTTTGTTTTGCATTCCCTGCCTCTTGGCTTTTATTACTGGTCTGGCCATGTTGGTTTGGTGTTTAACGCTGCACTCAGCAATATTCCAGCTATATGACGGCGGTATGTAAATAACTGAGTTTGGACCAGACAGTCCAGTGATAGTTTTTGTGAACAACGATCCCTTCTGTCTGGGTACGGTGACACACACAATACCAAGTCACTGAACCTGACCACCAGATCTGTTTCGTTGCCTCTTACAATCAGTAAAGGTTACTGGGGGCCAATTCTAACATAGAATCCCTATGGGGACAGCAGGTGAGTGAATAGTGTTTTACACCACTTTCAGCATCATCCCAGTAACATCACTGTGGGGGACATCAGAGTGAGTGAGTGAGTATGGTTTTAAGCCGCTTTTAGCAATATTCCAGCAATATCACTGTGGGGGACACCAGAGTGAGTGAGTGAGTATGGTTTTAACCTGCTTTTAGCAATATTCCAGCAATATCACTGTGGGGGACACCAGAGTGAGTGAGTGAGTATGGTTTTAAGCCGCTTTTAGCAATATTCCAGCAATATCACGGCGGGGGACACCAGAAATGGGTTTCACATATTGTACCCATGTCAGGAATCGAACCCGGGACTTCGGCATGACGAGCAAACGCTTTAACCAGAAGGCTACCCGACTGCCCTGGGACACCAGACATGGACTTCACACGTTGTACATATGAGGGGAATCAAACCCAGGTCGACGTGACAAGTGAACTTTTCAACCAACTGGCTAAACTATCAATAATCCTTAAAAAGAAACTTACAACTTCGAAGACTCCCACTTGTTTCCCAGCATCAGGGTTTTCTTCTTTCCCATCGATCAGCTTGCTGCTGTCGCCGCTACCCTTGCGTGCACCATCCGCAACCTTTCCATTCTTCATTTCGGTTGCTGCATCAAGAATTGTTGTAAGATAAATCTCACGGAACAAACAAAACAAACTGACAACATAAAGACGATCAGTAAGCATGTCTTTCTTCAACAAAACATACCTGGGATTTACAGGATGCGGAATCCTGCATCCCACACAAAAAACAATGGAAAACAGATACAAATTGCATCCTATAAGAATTAAATTTGGGGCCCTTGGGATCCATATGTAATGTGAAAGACACAATACACCGTCACTTGCTTCACCATCTTAAAGCACCAACACTTGTAGACCTGTTTTAATCTCATTAAAATCAGATCTTAGTTCTCGCTACCGCTAAACAAAGATCTGAAGCGTCCCATTAGGGGTCACGTCAGAACGACCTTTCATCCGACCAATCGGAGAGCGTTGCTTACCAGATCATGAAAGTGAGAGTCGAAATGTGATTCCTAATCATGCAACCTCGAAAACTTTAACATGTCGTATTCCGAACGATAGTTACGGGCTTAATGACTGAATCCATACAATCTAGACCATCTGTTAGCCATTCTAGAATGTTCTTTTGTTCAGGTTTCAAATTTTTAATTGAGAATTTGTCAAAATATGTTTCGAAGCGTAGTCGCCAATTTGAAATTAGTGCAGTAAGCACGAGAAAGCTGCCTTCTGATTGGCTAATGTCGACTTCTTGCCAGTCATTCAATTGGTCGATCAAAGTTCGCGAAAGGTCGGTCTGACATGACCCGTAATGGGATGTCCTCAGATCTTTGTTTAGCGGTAGCGAGAACTAAGATCTGATTTTAATGAGATTGAGACCTGTTTCAGTTGGGGAACTCTGCAGGGCTTTATCTTGACCTGATAATAATAGTGTGGGCTTCACACTTTGTACCACTGTTGGGAATCGAACCAGGTCTTTGGTGTGACGAGGAAGTGCTATAACAACTAGGCTACCCAGTGCCCTCCTATATATTACATAATATATATCTATATTTTAAAATTATGACGATAACCATAACAATTTGAAATTCTGATGCAATTTTTTTTATATATGTTACTGAATGTCTGAACATGCTGAAAGGGTGACAGAATTAAAAATAATGAAATTTGTTAATGTGTTTTATTTGTATAGGTATTTGTCCACAATAACCTGAAGGGCCATATCACTTTACTTCAAGGTTGAACGCAGCAGGTGAGAGTCACTGATGCATAACGATGTTTATATAACACTGTATAGTCACAGGGCCATATGACACAGTTGAACCAATCAACTCAACTCGAAAGGGTACACGGGAATCAGTCACGATGAGACGCCCAACGCTTACACCATATTCGTGCGTGCGTGATTCCCGTGCACCCTTTCGAGTTGAGTTGATTGGTTCAACTGTGTCACATGGCCCTGTGACTATACAGTGTTATATAAACATCGTAGCATTATGCAGATTGCTTTCAATGAATGCTCATTCCATCCGTGACGAACAGGTATGGTTGTTAATGAAATATAGTGATAGCTAAATAGACAGATTTTTTATTCATGCACCGATTGTCTTTTAATGTAATATTCAGTTATGTATGACTGTTTAATAATCTCATACCAACTTTGACTTGAGTAGGTCCGATAGTTTTTCAGATATTGTAGTAAACGTCGGTACCTTAAATTACCTTCTAACGGTAGTGTATGGTGTACATGGTGTAGGGTAATGAGATCTCACTAAGTGGGTAATTACAGCCCTATCTTGAGGTCCTTTCAATTGAAATAGTGAGCTGCACTTTTTCAGCCTCGCACACAGACCACGGTGGAAAATTCTGTAATGGCTCATGAGAATTAAGTATGGCGTCCTAAAAGAACATAGTAAAAAACCTATTTTTTCTGAAAGTTGCTGTGGTTTAACATTGTTTAAGAATCAAATATATGACACACCTAGGATACAAAAATAAAATGATATCAAATTTGATCAGAGTCATTATTTTGATAGCTGTATCATTAAAACACATGTTGTGTTGTTGATAATTCATTAGATTTTGTTGAAGTTTCGTGGCTGCAAATATACAGGGCACAACAAGAAACTGTGCACTTGATAAAATCAGGCAGTCTCTTTTACAGTGCAGCATATGATGAAATAAATTGTTTGATAGGCATTACTTAGATGTTGACGGATGACAAGATAGACACAATTTTATGGATAACAACTTCTTTAATACTGTGAAAAGCGACGTTTTGGTATAGCTACCGATGTAACCCCACTCATGTATGCAATTGTTATCACTGTTAATCCTCCACCTACTATATATATTCTGTACTATGTCCCTCATTCAGTCTTGCTTGACAACGGTATAAGGATCTATACCGAAACTTCGCTTTTCACAGTATTAAAGAAGTTGTAATCCATAAAATTGTGTCTATCTTATGATGAAATAATCAAGAATTACAGATTTTTAATTAAGTATTTCATTTACACGTATGTTGACAAAAATGTGCAATTAACTTACACCACAAGATCATGAGTGAGTGAGTATGGTTTTACACCGCTTTTAGCAATATTCCAGCTATACCACGGTGGGGGACACCAGAAATGGGCTTCACACATTGTACCCATGTCAGGAATCGAACCTGGGTCTTCGGCGTGACGAGCGAACGCTTTAACCACCAGGCTACCCGACCGCCCCACAAGATCATGAACTTACCATAGGTCTACACTGACTATTAAACAAAGGCTATGACCTTGGCTTGTACACTGAATTGGTTTTTTTCATCATTACTCAATACATAATGACAACAGAAAGCTAACCAAAATTAAAAGAATCAGACATTCAGAATAAAAAAATTACTCACAATTATCACATCGGAAAACCATAAAATATCCAAAATATCAAATTGACAAAAGAAAGTGTGAAAATATGTAAATGACTTATTCCATGTGAGCAAAGTGGCCTTTATTTTACCTATCATGGACCAAATGAACAAGTTTTAAACCCAAAATCTAAAGGGACAAAAATAACTATTACTCACTTTATTACCAAAACATACTTGTATATACAGAACATTGATGCCGATCCACATTCCTGTCAGAAAGCATCCTGGAAACAACAGCCCTACTTACCATAATACTGGCGATGTCGTGTTTTGCTCGCCATAGCGATACCGGATTAATATTAATTTCCTCTTGATAACAGATGCCACAAATCCTATAACGTCATCACGATCTGTTTCTTTCCAGTGGTAAAACACCTACGACACTATCCACTCGTTACCAGAACAGAACAGCGAACTTGTGACAATATCACTGCATTTGATTCACATGGAATAACACATCCAGTTGCTATGACACATGGTCAGACGTACATTTGACAGCTGGAAAATGCATGTAACATGCACGGAAAGTGATGATGTCATCACTATGTGAGCACAGGTATGACAAAGCCTGCTCTTTGAGGAAGAAAAGTACATCAGTTATTCAAGGATGATTATTGATTGGAGAGCCGGTCACGAACGCCATGAGCAAAACTATTGATTGATTCCTGGAGTACCTACAACATGTACAATAAAGTTTATCCAGCTGTACTGTACATGCTGTATACTGCTTTTACTTTAAACACAAAGAGCCTGGAGGCTGTAAACATTTAGTTACAGGTAGATTATAAAGATGTCACCACACTCAATACAAGCACTTGTTCAAATTAAGAGATTGTATGACAAATGGAAATGAAAGATTTAGAGCTTACCAATTGTCATTATTGTTATTTACATCGAGTGGTAATTCCCTGTTCATACTGAGAAACCACATGTCAAGTTAAACATAATCTTTAATCTTTTGTTTGGGATCAATACTTGTAAACTATTACAAATATGCCAAAAGAAAATTCTGATACGCTAAAATGTCGACAAATGCTGAGAAACCAAAGGATATATACAAAATATTTCCTTTTTTTCAATTTTAACACAAATTCTGAGAAATTATAAACATGTGATGAAAGCTGTTTACACAAAATACTGGCATTAATTTTTCATCTGAATAACATAAAATCAATATTCATATTTTTTCATTAATCATGATAATTTTATGTCTACAATTTTACAGAATTGATGAGGCTAGTATACTCTCTCGAAGTCCTGAGCTACTAGTCTGGCTAAAGATGCAAGCAATGACTGAAAATATTTCATCATTCACAATTAACCTGACTTTTGACCTGTTGATGGTGGCAGGCTAATGGCTAACTAGTAAAAAACCAGGTGAGGTGAGAAGGCTGTTCTTATCTTAGCCTTGCTTCCACTTCCAGCTACTTAAATCTGTTCTGTCAGTTTATCCATTGGAATTTCCACACAGTGACAAACATAAACAATCCTCAAATGTGAATTAGTGATGAAGCAATGCACAAAGAAGTTCAGGAAAAAATCCCAAATCCCATTTTTTCCTCATATTTATAGTTTCTTGCAATAAGGGAGGTAACTCTAATCTTGAAGTGCAGGGGCCTCTTTAAGGTTGGATCTCTCAAGGCTGTTTCTAAATAATCTTCATAATAAAGAATGGATGAGCAAGTTTTTTTCAATAATGTCATGTATGTTCTCATAATACCATAGCTTTATCAAGCAGTAAAAATAGATAATTAAACTCATAATATCAAATAACGGTTGGAACCTGAAGAAGCATTGTTAACAAATATAAACCCGATTGTGACTTTATTATTATTATTTAGGGTGGAAGAGTCAGAATTTTTGTCAAAAATAGATGAAAAACAAAGAATTAAGAATTGACTTCAATATTGTTTTAGCGTTTATGGAGGTAAACATCAACAATAGTGGGCACACTAACTTTCATGTTAATAATTCCATGAATGCAAAAACATTCTGAAGTCAATTCTTATCAATAAATACATCGAAAAATTCCCAGAGTGCTAATTAATCAACACAAAAACACTGTAGACAAAATAGACAACAATACTAAATCACTGACATCGTTCAGCGCAATAACGGAATGCAAGCCACGCCCATTCTATTATCAGCCAATTAGGGAAAGAAGGGTGGGCT